TTCTCATAATGAACCGCGCCCACCTTGAATAAACTGTCACGGCTTTTATCTTTCTTTCAGCGAGAGACTATCTTCTAAGAACTATACTCATGCCGTAGCTGGTATCTGGATTTTAAATCTTAACTTGCTGGTAAGCTCTTTATTCTTTTAGTACCCAATCGACAATAGTTTTTCCTCGTCATTTCGTGAAATATGGACGAATATCCTCCATTACAAAAAATATTTTCTCCTTGATATTTACTTTTAAGCGTAACTGATATTCCGATCTATTGCATCTATTACCTTCTACGAGACTATTTTTACTTAGATTCCATAACTAATTACTTCTAGAATTTATTTTTAAATCGTCGAAGATACCTGGAAACGAAATTTATTTCGAGTTCTGATTTCAAACTTCTTCCTTCATTTTTCTCACGATAAATAACAACTCATATCGACAAGACTAAAAAATTCAAAAATAAATGTGATGTACCTTATTAATGTTAATATCTTAATTATTAGTCAACAACGAAGAAGTGGAAGTGGCATAAATTCGGGTATACAATCGTTTGATTTTCGTAACATTTTTTTTTTTTTAATTTTCTTCTCAATAGTGATGGGGGGGGACCGACTTTAATTGTATCTACAATTGAAAAGGACCGGTAATACTGCTCGTGAACGTAAGGGTCTGCGATTTCTGAAATAGGAATTGCTATGCAACTTCCCTTATGTTTATAAAACAGCTTCACGAGTGGGTGCTCACGCAACCCGAGTCCTGTTGGATATTCTCCATCCTTGTAGCGCAGTCGATAGTCGACCGAGCCGTTTTGATATCCCATCCTTGGAAGAAGTAGAAGATACTCGTAAGTTATTTATTTATTTATTATATTTCTTTCTGATCTTTTAGCCTTGTCATATGAGTTGTTATAATTGTACTCGTATAATTTAAATAAAAATTGTTAATAAAAAATAAATAAAGTTTACATTGATTTTTTAAAAAAATGTTTCTTATATAAATAAGTTTCTATGATTGTTTGTCCCTTCTTCGATAGTGGGCCAATAAGAAAATGCATATCATGTATTTCATCAATTAATATTTTTCTTGCTTGCCTCAGCTCTTCTTTGAAAATTGTTTCTGTGCCGCCTTGCGGATTTTTAGCTTGAACCTTACACAAATATTTTCCAAATGGCGTTTTTATAATCTTACCACGCCTTAAAATTATTATTACCCGTGTGAGGGACGTGAAATTCATAAGATAGTGAGAAGGCAAATAAACCACCATTGGCTTTTAGAAATCTTGTTGTAAGGTTCGGATATTCGTTTATTAATCGAAGAATTATAGACTCCGATTTAGAAGATGCTTAATTAGGAAAATTCGCCGTGGTTTAATGATTAATTTGAGCCTAAATTTATATTTAAATTTTTTAAATAAAGATTAATAATTATACATTAGAATTTCTTTCGTAAGCCTAATCAAAATATAAAACTTAATTTAAGCTTCATTCATATAAATAGATAGATCATGATATCAAATTTACTTCAGATGAATGACTATTCAAGGGGGTTGAAGATTAAGTAAAAAAAAAAAAAAGAAATGGATCTTATACTAATCACATCTCATAAAATTTTATATACGAAACGATCTTATAAATGGGCAGATAAAAGATGTACTGTAAGTACACACTTTGCCTCATGTGTAATTTGTTTTTCATCGCATGATTCTATTTAAACTAGTGCCTCATTGTGATTGCAACAGTATGACCGGATGTTAGATCGCATAATGTTACGTCGTTCCTTGAAACAATGATGATTGCATTAATGAAAATTCACCAGAACATAACAAAGTTGCCTGATTATTTTTTGCAGATAAATAGTGGCGTTATTAATTTATCAATCCAAATTTTCTAATTTTTGTAGAACCGGTACTTTGCATTCTTAAAATATACAGTAAATCGATCCGCAACGATTTTTCTCCCCTACCCACATCATTATGCAACTTTACCGATTAAGGAAACTCTAATTTTGTTTAAGAATCGCAGAATTAAACAAATAAATTGCATGCATTAAAAATTCACAAGTTGGTGTTAATCCTAAACATTAAGCGTGGTCATAAATTGGTTCTTTGTTTATGTATTTATAACAATTTAAATGTAAACAAAAGGTGTTTTATTAATAAGTAATTAAGTAATTATGATGCAATATAGTCCAATAAAATTAATTATTCAGTGTTGCCTCAAAGTCGACGTTCTATACTTTCGCAATTCAATTTTATTAACGCTAATTTATAAATGCTAATTAATTAAAACTAGGAAACAAATATTCGTAAAAATAAACGAAAGAAATTAACGAAGTTACAACTTACAATAAGAAATTTATGGAGTTAAAATGGCGAAGACGATGATATCGCAAGGGAGAAAGAGAAAGGATATGTTTATCCCGTATATGCAAAATGAAAGAAGGCGAACTGTGAAAATAATCTTAATTGTATGACACACGTTCGAAATTGATCTACAAAGAATATGTTCCCATGTAGAACAATTAAGTTATTGAAGGGAATTTCTTATATTGTTGGTTCTGAGAAGTTAAAAAAATCGATGCAAGTATATTTTAATAATAATTTAATTCGTGAATAGTTTTATATTTACTGTATATAACCAAAGTTTGTTACAAGTATGTACGATGAACGAATTTTAAACATTGTTTTTAGTGGTTCTGAAGTTGAAATTTATTGTTTTTTTATAAAGAAATCTACGAAATTTATTATTAAATATTTCAGATATTAACTTCCTTGAGTGAAATTGATGAGTAAAATCACTTTTACATAAACCTAATTCTAAGCTAAATATTTTCAGATATAAAGCAACATTTAATTTAAATTAATAAAAATATGAACTGTAAATAAAAATTAGTCTTCGAAAATTTATTTTATAACATATAATTAACCAATGACATCCTTTAATTCTATCAAATTTTCCATTTCCATTTTTGAAAAATACTTGTCGTTAAATACTTTTGGAACATTTGGGTGTAACTTATAGATTTGTAAGGGATCTTCTATTTTAGGAATATAAATAGTATCCTTTATATATGTCGTAAGTCGAACATAATCTATTTGCTTTAAAATTTAAATTCATTAATAAAATCATTGATTTTAACAATATGCTCATAAATTTCAGGTAGATACTTACCATGATAATAGAATTATTTTTTACGTTTATTGAGGGTTGTACCCATTTATTTACTTTAAATGGAAGTGAATATTCAATCCAACCCAATCCAACAAGTCCTGATAAATTCTCATTTGTTAATTTATGACATCTAATACGACTGCTATATATCTATTTATTATAATAAATTAAAACCGATAAAGATTTTTATTTTTGCACATATGTAATATATAACTTACATCAATTGTTTTAACAATAAACTCCACATAACAATCTTTGGACAATAACTTTTCAACATTTATTTTCCATGTAACGTAACATGAAATAAACCTAGTACTACCAAGTTTAGGCAAAATAATAGGAATTATTTCATCATTGAAAGATAACACTTGTCCAGACAAACTTAGATTTAATATAAAGTTAGCTCGTTAAATAAGTTAAATTATAAAGTTTACACGGAATGCTTACCTATTTGTATCAATCTTTTTAAACCGATGAAATTCATTATACAAGTTTGTAAGATTTGAAGTATAATAAACACATTTTTCTACAATATAATTCTTTAAATTAAAAGTAAATAATATTCATACAATAAAATTTAAATATTCTTCTTACCTTTATACACGAGTTTATGAAAATTATTAATGATTCCAAGTTCAATAAAGTCATTATCACTTATCTCAAAATATTCAGATAAAAATGACCATAATCTTGTATCTGAATATTCTTGTGTTAAATAATCATTTAAAATATTTCCGCCAATTAATGATTTATCAAATAAACCATTTAAATAATATAACAGAAATTTCGCTAAATGATCACCAGAATTGAATAATGATATACATCGTTTCACTTCAATTTTAGTTTTTTCATTGTTTCCTAATGTATAGTATATTAGTCCTTTATAAAAATATGCAAGACTATTTGAAGAATCTAATTGGATCAATTCATTAAGATCTGATAGAGCTTTTTCATATTCTCGAAGTTCATAATGAGTAATAGCTTTGTTAATTAAAATATGAGTATTCTCAGGATCAATGTGATAGGCTCTTGAGAAATGCGATATTGAATCATTATATTTTTCTAGATAATTAAGAATTTCTCCATAATAACATAGTATTAATGAATCAAGTTGATTTATTTCCAGTAATTTATCTAACATTTCTAATGCCTCCAAATATCTTCCTTGAATTTTATAAATATGCGCACAGTACTTCAAACATAAATAATTTTTCGAATCCTTTTGTAATGCTAAATTATAACTTTTTAAAGCATTATCGTAATAATCTTCCTTATCATTTATTAAATTTTCTGCTATAGAATAATAACTATTACCTAACAATATCATTAAGTTACTTGATATATTATTATTATTTGTTAATTTTTCTAATACCTGTATTGCATTTTCATAGTAACCTTGTCTGAAAAGTATTTCCCCACGAATAAGATACGCAAGTTGATTGTGCTCCTTCAACCTGATAGCATCATTTAAATATGATAACGCTTGTTCATAGTTATTAATGCATCTATAAGCATAAGCTAAAATACATTTCATTGTATAACTTTTATGATACACTCTTAAATATTCTTGACAGCTTGATATAGCTATGTCATAATTTTTATCTGTTAATTCTTTTATAACATTCTGATAAGCTGGACGTCGTTTTTTAGGTTGTAATATATTTGTGTTAAATTTGAATTCTTTAATATATTTCTTTTTTTTAATTAAAATATGATCAACTTCTGAATTATCAGAATCATCCTCATGTTGATTATCAGTTATTCGATCTGAATGTTTCAATTCAATTTGGGGTAAAACATGTCCAGCATCAATAAAGCGCGAATATAGATTTTTGTAAATAGTATTTTGTAATAAGAATCTAATATCACTATTTTCAAATTTTTCTCGACAAATAGGACACTCTTTTTGTTTCAATTTGTTTAAATTATTTAAAGAAGTCACATGTTGACACTTTAAAATACATAGGTGATCTTCTGGCTCATGACTAATAATACAAGTCATTTCATTTGCAATAACATCAATAATATTAAAAGAATCCAATATTTCTACTTGTTTAAAATATGTATTCTGATCAAAACATTTTTCTTTTCCTTTTCCGATATCTTCATGACATTTTTCTTTAACAAATTCTAATAAATTTTGAAATGATTCTAAAGAATCTACTGAATTATTTTCATATAATTTTTGAGCATATTCGTCAAAATCAAGTTTTATTATTGAAAATGATTCGTTGATATTTTGTAAATATAATAATATTTCAATTGCTTTAAATTGAATAAAAGAGTTTGGAGCTTTATTGAGTGTCTCAATTGCTAGATAATAACAAAGACCATAAATAGTTGGCTGACTAGATTTTTGGATGAGATTTTGTGCGAGATCCAATATTCCAAACCATAACATATCCGGTAACGCGAGTGGTTCATTTCCAGCGAGATCATTTAAAAAGCTTCCTGTGTTTCTTAAATTCTTGATGAGTTTATTTGATACTTCATCAAGTTTAGTTTGAGAATCTAATATGGATTTATCAACAACATTATTCCACTCTCTCTCCGAATAACTCCAAAGATATTCCATTAATATCCTTTCTCCAAACTTTCTACCAATTATCTTTTCATCACTTTCAGACCAAATAAAAATGTTATGTTGAATTATCAACATAATTCTCCAATCTATATAATAATTTGCTACTGGATATTTAAAACTTAAACCTTGACGTAATTGAGTAAGCATTGATAAGATTGAACAGTTATCATTTGGAAGTGCAACCCCGGGTGCTACATTACTTGTAATTCCTGGTGCAATATTTAGAACAGTCTTCAACAACTCCTTAGTTCTTCTTAAAATTTCCTGAAACCAAGTTTCATCATCACGCAGACTATGTAGTGTATCACGCAAATGAATCAATAAAAAGTCAATATTATAGTTATGCTTTTTAATCCTTTTATTAACCTCATCATATTGTTGATTAGATAGAATGAACTTTGGTTTAATGCTATTAAATCCTTCTTCAACAACTTGTATATTTTTGCGATGAAACTCAGCAAATTTTGCTAAGGAATTGTAAATTTTATCTCGAAGTACCTTACAAAGTACTATTTGAGAAAAACATATCTGTTCTAAGACTGCGGCCCAAGCTCGTAAGTGAAATTCCAATCTTGTCATTATTTCTTTAGAATGATGGTTAAATAGTAAAGGATTGGCGAAATTTTCTAATGAATCCACTAAAACCTGGGATGAAAATTGATGTTGTTGGTTTTCGAAAAGTAATTTTAGAGTGTATAAGACTTTTGTCTCATTTAACCTCGTTATAAGTTCCTTTGCTTTAGCATCTGGTGTGGTATAACCTTCCTCTTTTAATCTTAGAAGGATATTATTGGATTCCGTTTTAAATGAAATGGAGATGTTCAAGTTTCTTAGCGTAGGTTCAGGTTTTCTTCTAGAACTTCCACTCTATTTATTATTTAATTATAAAATTAAGTAGAACATTTTTTATTACTAATGTTTGGTTGTAAAATTTTTTTTTTACCTGGCTTGGTCTTCTTTTCATTTTATTTATTTAATAGTTTATAAAAAAAAATTAATGATTGGTTTGACTTTAAGGATTAATGATGATATTTATGTATTTTATGTATCACAACAGACATTAAACATGAAATTAAATAAACTTGGCAAGGATCAGAAAAGTCCCTAGTACAAAAAATTTTGTATTACCTTGTTTTTCAGATTATTCAAATAGCGGCAATCGGAGTAAAGGTTTTGAGCTGCTTGTTACCTACTGTAACTCTTCTTTCACGCAAAATTCCTTCTAAATACATTATCACAAACGTCAGTTCTAAAAGCAATTTTTATATTTACATACATTACGAAGCATACATCTTTTTTCACAATTTCAGATGCAAATTTACACGATGATATTATAAGGAATTAATCTTTTTTCTCATTGAATTTACGACTTTCTGGATATCCATTTACAGGGTCTACTACTTGAATAATAATGAATTCTTTCTCTTGAAGACGTATTTGCGAAATTGATAAAGTTCTAATTTTTAGATTTAGTATCTTGTGCGTGATTTCGTCTTTAATTGAATACAATACGTAATTTAACCATAAAAATAATTATTAATAATTACTCTGCCTATATTAACGGAACTATTGGACTCGAGTTAAAAAAATTAACTGGAATCGAGTCAGGAATTTTTTTTTGATTTGAAGAGTACCCGAGTCAGAATTCGAGTCAGAATTCGAATATAGAATTCGAGCATCTACTCGAGTAAGTATTAACTGTGTTTCATGGGACGGCTATCGCCTAATTTGGCTTAGCGAAAATAGCGAAAAAATAACTAAACATTATAAAATAATAAATGAAATTATATTTTACATTTTGTATCAATATTTTATATTTATTAATGATGAATTTATAAATTTTAATTGAAGTATTGAAATTAAACTTTTAAAATTTAAATAGTAAAAAGAATTTCTTTGAAAGTTATGGCGCAATTACATAATAATTTTAGTACAAATTTTAGCAAGATTTTCAGTGAATTAAAATTTAAAAATATATATATATATATATATTTTTTATACGATGCCGGTATCTCATATTTACATTAACAATGAATAATTAATGGCAATATATAATGATTAAGATACCGTAACGATATAAATTAACGCATGATATGTTTGACTTTTCAAGAATTTTATTAATTTTCGCCAAGTAAAACATTAATTATGTAAATTCGATGATCTATCTTTTGGTGGAATAATATATCAAAAGGATACATATTTCTTTTTAAAAATAACATTTCACCTAATAACTCAGGCTTAGTATTTAAGAAGTAAATAGTATGGCACATTAATAAAGTGTAGAATGCGCTCGAAGTTTATGTAGTTAACTCGAGTAAGTATTCGAATACTTATTCGAATCAAGATTCGAGTATATAAAATTTTGACTCGAATCAAAATTTAACTCGAATTGACTCGACGAATACGAGTACAGACTCTAAACGGGACGCTATTTTAATTTTTCCTCCAAGACTACTGGTCCATAATTAACCGCTTTAACGATTTCTTCACAGGAAAATAAAGCTAGATAGACTGGAACCGGTTATTATATCCGCAGGAAAAACGCCCGATAACTCGATTTAATGACTTTTAGGCTAAACTGGTTCAACTTCAAAGATCACTGGTCCATCATTACCCGCTTTGACAATTTCTTCACAGAAAAATAAAGCTGGATGGACAGAAACCGGGTTATTTGGCCATAGGCAAAAACTCCTCTTTATCTTTGGTGTAACAAAGAACTCGGAAATCTTCAGGTAAACAGCCATTTTATATGGTATTTAAGCCTTTACTTGAAAAGTAAATAAAAAAGGAAATAAATCGAAAATATATTTTTGTGTGAATTTCCGGTCTGTGTGAAGTGGGAAGAAGTAAATTTTTTTTTGTTTTCAAGCAAAAAGGGTTTTTAACGATTGTTATGACGCAACGTCACATAAACTTTTTAGTCCATCTCCATATGTAATCATAATGATGATTTATCAGTATATGTTCAATTCAAAATTGGATATTGACGATACATTGAAGCTTAAAAATTCCTTTCAAAGAAATGTACAATACTTTTGAAATATTTTATTTCAGACAAAATTTGATTCTTTTCCAATAGTAGCTTACTACTAGGATTTTTTACCGTTGTCTTTGATAATTAAACCTTAGATATTTTGATATTCTTTCAATAAAACAAGTAACAGGTACTACAAGTTTGATCAGATTGGAATTTATCAGTGATGTGAATAAAAATTATTAAAATTTGTTTGCTATTATTAATAAATAACGGATTTTTTTTAATTTTATTTTCCTGTATTACGTTGGACGACTCATTGAAGAACGGGACAAAGTTTAAACGTAGAATTAAACAATTTAATATAAAACAAAATTTGAATAAATAAAATTACTATGAAACGGCTCAAAATTTGTCACACGTTCATTGGTTTTGGCAAGAATAATATTGTACCCTCCATAGTCCTCCGAAATTCGAAAATTTGTATTGTACCTAGGTAATTGTAGCGGCCCAACCCACTTTTATAACAAAGATAATTTAATAAAAAATTAATGCAAATTCAAAGACAGAACTTTCCTAAAAAAAGAAATAATTAATTTATAAAATAAAAAAAAAAGTATATAAGGCCTCGCAAACTCGATTTTTCAATTCATGTAACCCGCCAGGTCACCTTCTTGAAAAAACAAAATGATTTTTATAATTATAAACATTATACACGTGACAAAATAATAATAAAGTATTGTATCCAATGCACTCTGGAAGATAGAGTGATGTTGATGACTTCAAATGCATTTCTCAAAGGTCGTTCTTCATTAGGATTGTCATTTAAATCGATAATTTTAATCTCTAAAACTAGTGATGCTAATGGTCGGTCAAAGACCTTTAACCCATTTGACTGACCGACTTAATAAAATAAAAATTATAAAAATAATACTTCATGCTGTTACAAGGATTATTTTTACTAATTGAATTTATTCGCCAAATTTCTTAGTATTCAAAAAATCAAAATTTTTTTTATTAAAAAACCATATACTTCCGAAAAAGTCCAAATTTTATTATAAAGATACTTTAATTTTGGATGATTTTATAACAAAATTTGTGTTTGAATCTAAAAACCGAAAGGGTAGGTAGAAAACCGGTACGGTACGGTTTTCTATCTACCCAACCGAAATGCTTCGCTAAATTGATCACCTGCCGATCTCATGAAATTTACGTCAATTTGTATTGTTATAAAGCAAAGTTTATGTTTATAAAAGGTATATATCATTTTTATGTACAAGGAGGTATATTTATCACCTTAGTCCAAAATACCTTGTAGAGAATAATAGTAAGTTCGGTTCATGAGAACTTAAAATGTATGGTTATTAAAATATTTCTCCAAAATTTTGTGTTTCAAATTTGGAAATTATGTACTATTTCTATTGCATAATCTTTGAATTATTGGTAAATTTAAATAAAATATTGCTTACGTTATAATGCTTAACTTGAGTTGTAAAAAATTAACGTTACTTTTTATTAATCTTTGTCTTTTTAAAATCTCAAACTTTTAAAACCTTTATTTCGTATTAATTTCTAAATTGGATTTAAAAACCATGGTCATAAGCATTAGTTGTCAAAATGTTAATAAATTCATTTAAATCCTTAGGAATGTTTAAATAATTTTTAATATTTTTATATGACATTATTTGATCAATGAGCATGATTGACTTAAGTTTTTCAAAGAAAATATCTTTAAGGGATATATATAAATATCTAGTTGATTTTAATCTTGAGAGCTATCAAAAAAGTAAATTGTGTTTATTTCCCCGTTTATTTAATAATAAATGTAACAGGCATTATTATTCAATTGCAATTGGTTGCGTTACACAAATGATCGATCACAAAAAAAAAGATCAACATATAAACAATTACGGTGAAAATTTTTTTGCTTTGCTTTTTTAAATTTGTTAATAATGTCTGACAGTAACGATAAGGGTAAAAGTGTAATAAA